AATCTTTGGAGTAAAAGCTCTTAACCAGCATTAAGGCACCCCCTTCAAGGAAGGACAAAATAAAAGTGATGGGTTGCCTGTACATTACGGCCTTTGTAAGTCACACGTGCACATATGCCCTATTCACTAACTTGTCGGTAGTACATACCCTTTATAACTGTATTGTGACCACCTGTCACAATACAGTGACAGGTGCCACTCTTGTGGTTGTCTTCACGAGGGTTTTTTGACCTCTCATTATTATTATAATCATAACTAAGCGTTAAACTCACAAGGGTTGACCTCTCATTGACACTTCGATGCACTAGTTTTTTCTAGTAGCAGGTGGACAAGAGACGGCACACTAGACTCTTAATATCACAGTCTGAAAGTGTCCTTGCTCACCCCAGTTGTCAGTTTACTGAAGAATTAGCAGCATGATGCCTAAGTGACAGAAGTGGGTGGGAGGGACGTGAAGCAGAACGTATATAAATTATAGAGAATTGGAGAATGTTGGACGGCTATGCTACAACCATTTTTTTCTGTTTTTGGAACTCAATGTTGCATGAGATTTTGTTGCACATAGCTAAGAGCGATTACCTTGGGGAAATTGGCTTCACTGTGGCTGAATCTCTCCAGACAAAAGTTTTTTAAGCCATCTTATACTGGTATTATTGTGTACTAGGATGTTCACTAGAGAAGGGATCTCCAGACGCCTGTGATCACAGACAAGGGTTGAAGAGAGTCCACAACCGTAGTTAGAAGTTCCATGTTATTTTTCCAATAGCATCTTCTGAGTATCTAATGTGAGAAGATGAGAATTTACCTGTGAATAGCGAGAATAAGATTTTCAGCTACTTAGATATTTTTAAGAAGATTAACACAGACCGGGCTACGGTCTGTGTATACTCGCCAGGTATACTCTCCAGGTATACTCTCTAGGTATACTATATATGATTCGGAGGAAAGGTACAGTATCATGAATTTTGAGTAAATCATAAAAATTCTTGAGCTAGGGTTTATGATTTTAAGTTAGAGAAGAATTTCAGTGTCTTTACCATGTTTTCTTCCCTCTTTATTAAAACTGGAGCTAATGTTGGTGAGTGGGTTAACGTTCATTTTTTTCATAGGTTACTATGTTGAGTAGATCGTCAACTTTATTGATGTATTGTTAATTATCCATCAAATTTAATTCTCCACTTAACTTTCTTTGCCTGGGTTATGATAATACTGAGATTTTTCTTATGTTTAAGGCTGGGTTGTGTCCTGGCAGAAAGTTTTGATTGAGGAAGCAGCCTCGTAGCCCTTCCCCTCTAGCAGTAGCTTTTTGAAGCCAAGGTGTTCCTGATTGTAATGTGACTTGGCTGTGAATTGATTAAAATTCGCGAATAATTCTAATGTATGATTACCAGTTAGTTTTAACGCAAAGTTTAAGTCCAAGTTGAGCAACTCTACTTGAAGGCTTATCCAATTGTGTGTCAGTCAGGGGTGACCGCGTCATCTGCACTGGTGAATCCAGACCACACATTGTTTCTAGTTTCTAAATTTTTAGGTTGAGGTTCCTCTAGTGGTTTTCATTTGTGGTGTACTGCATTCTGTTGGCAAGGTCTGTTAAGAATATAAATTGATCTTTGCTACACAGGATTTGTAACTTTTTATATATATTTTTTATTTGGTGAAGGTTTGTGTCATTTATATTCTGATTCCGTTGTGTGTGTGTGTGTGTGTGTGTGTGTGTGTGTGTGTGTGTGTGTGTGTGTGCTAGAGAGAGAGAGAGAGAGAGAGAGAGAGAGAGAGATGGTAGGCGGTAGTAAAATGGCCTTAAACGTTAGTAAATTAACACGAAACTGCTACGTTAAACGTAAAATTAATGAGATAATGACCTCCGAAAAGCTCGGATGATATAAAGTTCATAACATAATTGCACATTTATTTGCTAGTCATTGCGTAGCAATTATGGCAACTTTTGGTTAACAGCTATATCAACATCTGGTTAGCAGATATGTAAACATTTAAGAGTTGACAAAAGTCAATCTATTTATTCAGTTCACCAAAGTGTCTGAAATGTTTAGGTGGCTCTCTGAAGCTTAGCTGACACCAGTGTAAACATACACACTGAGACGACCTGGGGTAAAGCTTCCACATATAACCTGCGCTTATACTTATTAGTTCAGTTACCAAGATATGACACGAGTTGGGACACAACATGAGGCTCTGGGATGGAAAACGACACGAAGAGAAGCTAACGACACGACACTCCAACTCTCTACCTAAGCCCCAAACCTCCTCAGGCGGCACTCACGCTCTGACACTACGATTAACAGTGCCTTCGTTGTGATTGTGGTAACCTAGCTCACACTGTACGTGGGGGTTCACACCGAGTGTGGGTGTGGGAGACGGAGAACGTCTGTGGCACTGTGAGTGTTACTGAGGGAGTGAGTTCGCTCTTTCTCACCTCATTATAAGACCCCTCATGACCTCTCACGTTCACCAGGAAAGGTGAAGCACTAGTTACTAGCAACTGCTGCCTCACTACCTCAACACATTGACACCTATACCTCGGAGTAACGGGTACTAGTCACACTGGCAACTGTTCTACTGTACAAGGAGAACGTTCATCAACACATCGGCCAGCTGCAGGATATAAATGATGTGCGTTTTTGAGGTTAGTTGGCTTGTTAGGTGTAAAGCCTGTCCACTCCATGAGGGGTCAGTTAAGCTGTATCCAGCTTGTACACCTGTTAGGAAAGCATAATTCTCAGTGTATCTACACTGAGACAAACCTCTCGATGTATATACCCTGAGACAAACCTCTTGGTGTATATACCCTGAGACACACCTGTCGGTGTACATACATGAAGGAAGGGAGTTGAAGAATCGTAATTCCTTCACACCTAATGAGTTCCCTCTCAATGTACTCATCGTTCCCCTGCACTTCATTGGAGATATCTTGCACCATCTGCCATCTGGTAATTTCTCTTGTGAACAAAGCAAGCCCTATATATACACTACGTTTCGCCCTGAATTTAAAAGTCTTTCAGAGCGAAACGAAACCCACTGATAAATGGTCTGCACATCGTATCTTTCCACCTAACATTCTGGATACCTTTTAACAGCAGAAGTCGATATTAGTTTAGGTAACTCTATAAGTGCCAAAGTACACAAATAACTCGCATATACGAAAAATTATTATAATCATAAAGAAACCTAGAGGAGAAAGGAACTATGACGACTTTGTCTGTGTATTGTTCCACTCAACATATGCACAAATGCAGTGTAATGCGTTACTTCATAGATTGCGTACACTGCGCCCACACAGTGAGCTGTAACATGTTGCAAGCAGATCTACCTGGGTACAGAGACATGAATATATATGGAGGGTTTGTGGCTTGAAAAATTATCACGGGGAAGCGCTAAACCCATAGGGATTATACAGCACCTCGGGGGAAAAGGGAAGGGGGGGGGGAGAGGGTTATGGAAGGCATTCGAGGCTTAATTCAGAGAATCGGAGGTGATCAAGTTCCCTAGATAAAGAACTCCTCACCAGGATCAAGGATCCCTTGAGGGGTGTGACTTGATATAGCTCACTGTGTTGGCGAAAGGTTGTGCTTAATTTATCCATCGTGTCGGTATTGTATACCTTTTATATTCAGCCTGATATGCCTATTTATTCTTTGAGTGAGAAATTATTATTATAATTATTATCTAAACTAATGAGCGACAGAAATATAAAGCGAGTGTGTCACATCCCACCTTAGACGTGACACCATTCGTATCTAAGCACCGGTGTCACGCATCCACAGACGTGTGGACAGTACCCAGCCATAACACAGGAGAGCGAGTGTGAAGGACGGTAACGTGATGTTACTGCGTGCCAGTAACATGATGCTACTGCGTGCCAGTAACGAGGCGAGGTGTGATGGAGCTGGGAACTTTTTGGAACCGTGGGAGCGCCATAATTCAACTCAGTCTCTCCGTGCTGAATAATTTTAGCTCCGCGTTCGTGTCAGCGTAACGCGTTTGTGTGCACCTGCAAAACAGGGCCAGTTAACGTGTAATTTAATATGTAATTCAGGCATGATTCTCCGTCCGCCAAGAGCGGCCCAGTCTCTGACCACAAGTGAGACTGTTAAGAACAATATTTGACTCGTCATTTCAACAACATGTGTGTTCAAGGCTACGATTGTAATGCTGAAAGCTGCATTTGGTGAATTCAGAAATTAACCAGGGTCATGTTTGTCATGGTGCTGGAGGGAAAAAAAAACACGTTTGTCAGCCTCAATAATTAACCAGGATTGTTTACACTGCAACCTTACAGAAGAGTGTATTCCACTCGTCTCATCCCACCAGCCTGCAAAGTATTCGTGATAGTGATACCGGTCTTTAGTTTAAAGCCTTCTGGCTTTACTAATTCTTGTAAATATGCGCACTACATTTTGTTTTGCATCTGTCTGGATTCTTCCTTCTTCAGTATCACTGCGGGTGGTTTGCTTCCTTTCTCCTCCCACTTTCTGACCACTTATGGTGATACTATTTCTACTTCATCATTATTTCTTATGAAGGAACTCTAAATACAGAAAGGTTAAACAAAGTGACCAGCCGTCCGATTTCAGGAGATCCGTCCCGCTTTAGAGCAGCATATCCCGTTCAAGACTGTCTGGATTGGTCAAACGTGTCATCAATGTTATACATGGTTACTGAGCTTTGTGATGGAAATATTTAACAAGCAACAGAAACGCTTCAGTTTTTTTTGGGTCGTCTAACCTTGTCACTGTACACAGAACGCTTGGTAACCTGTCACCATACACGTTACTTGTGCAATATACACGTTACTTGTGCAACATAAACGTTATTTGTGCCACCATACACGTTACTTGTACCACCATACACGTTACTTGTGCAACATACACATTATGCCACCATACACGCAACTTGTCACATACATTTGCAATTTTTTATTTTTTTATATTAAATTCTCTGGCGTGTGACCTGTACTAACAAATTGTTTCCTTCTGACGTAGGGACTGACTGTCGTGGGGACCTTCCTACCGGGATACTTACCAGGGTGGCCCGTGGAGAACATGGCTCTCTGGCTCTCCCTGGCCGAGGGGCTCCTGCTGCCGCTGGTCTTGGGTCTCGTGGATGCCACCTTCAGCGAGGCGGCCGGGTCGTCCTGCTCCAGGAATAAGCCTCAGCCGCACAAGTACGACGGTCAGTAAGCGCTCTAATTTGATATTGTTTAATTATACAGCTTTTGTATGAGCGGAGCTTGCAGGCATTTCATGTTATTTTTCTTCTCGATAATCCACTTAAGTTATTGCAGGAAAGGACATCGCAGCTTATAAGCTTAAATATGTATATTCCCGAGATGACAACCAAAAAGCTTTTATTCGATATAATATTTGAAGGAGAGTAACTTAATCATAAAAATATCAGCATTAATAATACTCATGATAAGACGAAGGGAAATTCCTAGACGTAAACGTAAACAAACTAAAGTTAAACGTATTCAGTTATTACACTGCAAAGGAAGTTTGAAAAATTGTAATACGTACGAAAATATCATATATAAGTTATGGGTAGATGGACAGGGGCAACAAGTGTCAGGAAATAGATTCGTACTATAGCAACACACATCTGTTGCTCATGCTCACCTGGGAGTTAGTCGACTGTTATGGGTAGCATCCTGGCAGACTGATATACCTTAAACTGAGACATCTTTAAAAATAAAACCTGAGGTATAACTCAGTCTGCAAATCTGAAGGTTTCAAAACTCCTGATATAACACGAGATTGCCTGGAGTCTACCTGGAGGGCATTTCGGGGATCAACACCCCCGCGGCCCGGTCCACGACCAGGCCTCCCGGTGGATCAGGGCCTGATCAACGAGGCTGTTACTGCTGGCCGCAAACTGCCATAACATTATTCTCATTCGAGATCAAGACAACACAACAACCCTTCCAATATAAACACTATAAACAACCCCCAACTAGTCTACACATCCAACATTAACACATATTAATGTGTACTTCACATCAACAGAACACTGAAAAAAATATATTACTCCTTTCCAACATTTCTTAGAGAGGTGTCATGAAATCCAGAGGCAAAACAGAAGGAAAAAAATATTTTTGTGATATGGAATGTGAACGAATAGAATATCCATGAAAGTAAAAATGCCCAGTTATATGGAAAAAGTTAATTTGATATTTCTAAAAACTGTAAATCAAGAACCAATTTACAAATTGCCAAAGAACACCGCTTGGTTAAAATGTAAATTCAGCCACACTGTATTACAGGAAACTGGATTCCAAACCTAGTGTCCATACTGGATTCTGGATTCAGCCATTACTGGATACCTCAGATGTAACCTTACTTTATCTCCTCTTATCCATATGTGTACCTTGTTCTTGTTTTAATTCCCGTCTCTCGCACACTATCTTGTCTTATCACAAACCAGTTGTAAACCAAGACATCCCTTCAAATATAAATCTTATAAATATAAATTATTTTTATTTTTCTGTTGCTGTGAATTATTTCCTAGACACTACAAAATAAATTTTTTAACTATTCTGACTCAAACCACGGAAAACTTTATTCAATTGTTTAACCTTTGTTTTTAATTCTGATCAGAATGCTGCGCATGATAATGATATTGTAGAAAATTGTAAATAAACAAGATGGTAGCCTAGAACTGTAATATTTATGGTCTTTCTTAAATTATCATTTAATGGATGGGTCTTGGAGAGAACATTGGCGCCCTCATGGGTGGGTCCTGGAAAGCAGCAGACTGGCACCCCTGAGGTAGAGTCTGGGGAAGCGTCAGACTGGCACTCCTGTGGGTGGGTCCGGGGAAGCGACAGACTGGCACCCCAGTGGTAGGTGGGTGGATCAGGGGAAGCGGCAGACTAGCACCCCTGTGGGTGGGTCCGGGGAAGGAGAGCGTGTCCGGGAGGTGTGGCTGGTATGTGATCCTTTCCCCCTCTCCAAACACACTCACACTCACACACACACACACACACACTCACACACACACACACACACACACACACACACACACACACACACCACACACACACACACAGGCCGAGTGGGCTAGAGCGCTGCCTGGGGATCTTGACCGTCCCCAGTAGTAGTTTCGAATCCTGCTGACTGCGATCTTTCTTTGTATATATATATATATATATATATATATATATATATATATATATATATATATATATATATATATATATATATATATATATTAAGAAGAGGTATGATAAAGCTCACGGTTCAGGGAGAGTGACCTAGTAGCGACCAGTGAAGAGGCGGTGCCAGGAGCTAGGACTCGACCCCTGCAACCTCAACTAGGTGAGTGAGTACACACACACACAACCCTGCCAAATGCAAAGTCATGAAGATTGGGGAAGGGCAAAGAAGACCGCAGACAGAGTATAGGCTAGGTGGACAAAGACTGCAAACCTCACTCAAGGAGAAAGATCTTGGGGTGACCATAACACCGAGCACGTCTCCGGAAGCACACATCAACCAGATAACTGCTGCAGCATATGGGCGCCTGGCAAACCTGAGAATAGCGCTCCGATACCTTAGTAAGGAATCGTTCAAGACACTGTACACTGTCTACGTCAGGCCCATACTGGAGTATGCAGCACCAGTTTGGAACCCACACCTGGTCAAGCACGTCAAGAAGCTAGAGAAAGTACAAAGGTTTGCAACAAGGCTAGTTCCAGTGTTCAGGGGAATGTCCTACGATGAAAGGTTGAGGGAAATCGGACTGACGACACCGGAGGACAGAAGGGTCAGGGGAGACATGATAACGACATACAAGATACTGCATGGAATAGATAAGGTGGACAGAGACAGGATGTTCCACAGAGGGGACACAGAAACAAGGGGTCACAATTGGAAGCTGAAGACTCAGACGACTCACAGGGATGTTAGGAAGTATTTCTTCAGTCATAAAGTCGTCAGGAAGTGGAATAGCCTAGCAAGTGACATAGTGGAGGCAGAAACAATACATAGCTTTAAGACGAGGTATGACAAAGCTCAGGAAGCAGAGAGAGGGAGGACCTAGTAGCGATCAGTGAAGAGGCGGGGCCAGGAGCTGAGTCTCGACCCCTGCAACCACAATTAGGTGAGTGCAAACACACACACACACACACACACACACACACACACACACACACACACACACCACACACCAGTTTGGAACCTACACCTGGTCAAGCACGTCCAGAAATTAGAGAAAATGCAATGGTTTGCAACAAGACTAGTTCCAGAGCTAAGGGGAATGTCCTACAAAGAAAGGTTAAGGGAAATCGGCCTGACGACACTGGAGTACAGGAGGGTTAGGGGAGACATGATAACGACAGAAAAATCTTCGAGGAATAGATAAGGTGGACAGACAGGATGTTCCAGAGATGGGACACAGAAACAAGAGGTCACAATTGGAAACTGAAGACTCAGATGAGCCAAAGAGATGTTAGGAAGTATTTCTTCAGTCATAGAGTTGTCAGGAAGTGGAACAGTCTAGGAAGTGATGTAGTGGAGGCAGGAACCATACATAGTTTTAAGACGAGGTATGTTTAAGCTCATGGAACAGGGAGAGAGAGGGGATCTAGTAGCGACCAGTGAAGAGGCGGGACCAGGAGCCGAGTCTCGAGCCCTGCAACCACAATTAGATGAGTACACACACAGTGCAACAAGATTGGTATCTGAGAGGCATGAACAATGACATTGTAAGAACGAAAAAAGGCGAAAATATGTTCACGACATGCAAAATACTCCGCGGTGCAGACAGTGATAGGCTATCTACCAGTGACATAACAAGAATGAGAAGGTGCTCGTCCCTTTCTACCAACTCTTCAAAACTGAGGGGAACAGTTTCCACTTCTTAAACTATTATAAAATTTGTCTCTGTATTTTATTGATAAAGTCTGCTCCGCAGGCGAAGCCTTTCGCCAATAATGATACCCATGTATTGTTCATGTATCTTATTCATAAACTTGTTCGATACAATATTCCATTAACGTATGATGTGGGTTCATGTTGTCTCAGAATGCGGTGCCTAACAATCTATCTTGGAACTAACAAACAAAAAAAAAAGTCATCAGGCAGACATACAATCAACATAACTCAGGAGTGTAAACAATCCCAGGCAACGACTGTGACAAAACACACACGGAAGAGACATCCAGAGAACTCGACAGCTGCATCTCAGAACACAAATACGCCAGCAGAATGGACAAAAATAACAAAGGCTGCATAATCCACTGTAATTCCCATAACCACCTGGTAAACTGGAACGGCATGCTACTAAATGCCAAGAAAAAAGTCAACCAGGTCTAGAAGAGTCCTTGAATCTTCACTCATCAGCATCTTCAACAACTTCAACCAAAACAACGTCTTCCCGGTGGCCTGGTGGCTAAAGCTCCCGCTTCACACACGGAGGGCCCGGGTTCGATTCCCGGCGGGTGGAAACATTTCGACACGTTTCCTTACACCTGTTGTCCTGTTCACCTAGCAGCAAATAGGTACCTGGGTGTTAGTCGACTGGTGTGGGTCGCATCCTGGGGGACAAGATTAAGGACCCCAATGGAAATAAGTTACAGTCCTCGATGACGCACTGACTTTCTTGGGTTATCCTGGGTGGCTAACCCTCCGGGGTTAAAAATCCGAACGAAATCTTATCTTATCTTAACTTCTTCACTTAATCGAAATTCAGTATTTATCCATTATCACAAAGGATTCCATATAAATTCATTTGTCTCTCTTTACCATCATCTCATTATTTCATACCATTTCGTACACGGTTATACCTTGTGCCTGGAGTGTAGACGGGGTAACAATATATTTGTTTTTTGTTACCAATAGGATACAGTGCCAAAAAGTGCACTCTTGCTTCAGAGTAAATAGTTAATAAGGATCCGCTAAAACCAGCAATCAGGACGAAAGCAAACAACACGAACTCTGCAGTGAAGACGAAAGACTTCATTGGTAACTAGACACAAGTCCCCAGCCTGGTATTACTGCTAAAGCTACTCTTCTCTCACTTAGATACATCAATACAAATCATGTTCTTAAAGGAACCCAATCAACAGACTGGCAATATAGTTTAATGTGGCAGACGTGCGGTTCTAATCCTGAAGGAAAAAAATGACCAGTGAGCTAATAAACTAAATAACATAGTTCTTAGTCAAACAGAATTTGAAAAAAAAAATCATGAGAACAAGTCATCCTGACTGAATAAATTCTCATTAAATTATATATTCTGAGAGAGAAGGTGGTATAACAAGTGCTGAAATATTCTCTAACCATGAAGAGCCGTAGCCAAACCTTTCAGAAATCTAAAGCCAGAGGGAACAGTGCATCAATGTTCTTAACGCAGCTAATTAATTTCTTGGTTTTATTTCAAGTCCGAAGGTTACATTGCAACCTTAAATATCCCTAACCCTTAAACTGTCCAAGCAGATCTATGTTCATATGTGTAGTGCTCCAAAAGTAGATCTACGCTTTTTTTTACATATTTTCAAATATATCACAAAAAAAAAGTAGATCAAAGTTTTTTTTATACGTTTTCAAATGTAAAAAAAGAAAAGATCTACTTTACTTTACATACTTTCAAATGTTGAAAAAACGTAGATCTACGTTTGGACAGTTTAAGGGTTAATGACGCCTCATTTTAATTTCGCTGCTCAGTTCTGGTCTCCATGTTGCTGAGTGGACATATAAGCGCTGGAAAACGGACAGAGAAGAATGACAAATTGTTCCCATTTTCACAGACCATTTTTATAAAGAAAGATTGAAGGCACTGAATTTTTTCTTTCTGGAAAGGAGCAGAATCTGGAAAGATACGACTGAAATGTACAAATAGAAACCCGTAATAAATTATTGGAATATAAAGTACTGAAAAAAATAGAACTGAAACAGGACTCTCAAACAATGGATTCAAGTTGGATAAGTTTAAATTTGTAAAACATGCAGATAAGCACTGGTTTGATGGTTACTGAAGACGAGTGAACAAACTATCAAGTAACATCACTGAAGCGAATGCTTTGGGTATTATTATTATAATGTAAGCAAAGGTCTAAACCAATGCTTTGGGTAGTCTTATAAACAGATTGGAAATGTACGTGGGCAGAAACGGTTGGATGTGGCTAAGACCCAATTTACATGGGTAAGTAGGCCTACTGCAATTCTCACACTGCCTTGTGTTTTCATGCAGATGGCGACGGGCCTTTCCGGTTGTTCCCGAAGGAAGAAGTCAAGTCGTTCCCCCTGACGAACGGTTCTCTCTTCTCCTCTCTGCTCAACATGAGCGTCGACAACCCTTCCCAGATCCTGCCCTCCTACAGACGAGGTAAGTTCTTAATTAATCCCCTCCTAGATACACCCGCTGTACAGACCAACGCTCTCTTAGAGAGCTCCCTCATGAAGACCAGATCACTCTCCAAGTCCCAGATTCTCACCACCGCACACGAGTGTAATTGGTTTGAGGGTAGGATGAGTGTGATTGGTTTGAGGGTAGGGTGAGTAATTGGTTTGAGGGTAAGATGAGTAATTGGTTTGAGGGTAGGGTGAGTGCAAATGATTTGAGGGTAGGTTGAGTGCAATTGGTTTGAGAGTAGGGCGAGCGTATTTCGTTTGAGGGTAGGGTGAATGTAATTAGTTTGACAGTAGGGCGAGTAATTACTCTGAGAGAAAGATGAAAATGTACGCGTGTAGCTAAGTGTGGACGTGAGGTGAAAAGTGGGCGTAATGTGAAATGTGGACGCGAGTTGAGATGTAAGATATAATATTCCCACCCACAATCATAGTATCTGAAGCCAGCGGATGAAGGTTCGATTATGTACACTGATAAGTCGGATCTGCAACTTTCACCTGGCGAGGAAATAAGATCTTTTGTCTTAGTAATAAGAGAGTCATCAGAGAGGGGAGAACCTTGAATGATGTTATCTGATGGGTAATTAGCAAGTGTTGCAATGTTGAGATACCTTAACGTAGAAGGCAATGCGATGAACCTGTAAGAGCCTGATGCTATCGCTGTGTCGCTTCAGATTGGTCACAATCTGAGGTGATCTGGGGGTCAAAGGTGAATGTTGTGACTGGAGAGGTGAGCAAATACTTGAACATATTTCTATATTAGAAGTTATCAAAGCCCCTGGGACCCTGATCGCTGATAACACACATTGGTCACGAATAACGGTGTATGTATATATATATATATATATATATATATATTATATATATTATATATATATATATATATATATATATATATATATATATATATATATATATATATATATTATATATATATATATGTATATGACATTGGCCGTTTCCCACCAAGGCAGGGTGGCCCGAAAAACAAAAACTTTCATCATTCACTCCACTGTCTTGCCAGAGGCATGCTGTCATGTAGAGGGGGTAATGGAACGTAAGTGATAATTGGGTAATATGGGAGTAAGGCGAGGGAGTTGGCAAGAGAGGTGGGCGATAGGTGAGTTGAGGCAGAGGTAAGCAATGTGAGGTCACTGGTGACTACACCTTCACCTCTCATTACTCTACCCACCACACTACTCACCCTCTCACTACTTGAAATAAAAATGAGTAAATAACGGGGACAGTAATATTGCTATTCTACTCAAACACAGTTTATTAAGTCCTTGTACAATAATATATTTGGGAACAAGAGTACACCATTGTGTTTAGATAAATTGGATGGACCTGCCTCGCATGGGCCAGTAGGCCTTCTGCAGTGTTCCTTCGTTCTTATGTTCTTATGTTCTTATATAAGCAGTGAGACAGGGAACACAATCAACTTGGCGAAAATGAATAAAACTTACAATATAGTTCAGAGGACAGTTCACCACAGGAACTAAGCCACAGGTCCCAAGACCTATACAGCAGGAGTACTGCTCCAAGCCAGTACTCTGCCAAATGTCTCCAATAGTCTCCTCCCGAGACTTCAGCAGCCTTCTCCCGAGCCCTGCAGCCCAGCAGCAGCTCCTCGTGAGCTATGCACACAGCAGCAGCTCCGCTCGAAGTCTCACGATCATTCTCTTCCTTGGGCATAATTATATGGTGGTCCAAGCACCCTCCACAATGAGGTGTGCACCACGTGTTACGACCTGACGCCGAGATCTGACGCCAGTGACAAACAAAGGAGCTGATACTTAAGCCAAAAAGGCATGGCTGCTTAGCCACTTGCCAAGGCAAGGTGACCATATAATTAGGTCTCCCTAGAGACCTCACAAGCCCAGCTGAACTACATCAAATCCCCCTTTCTTCCCCAATTTAAAATATCTGAGAACTAGGACAATTTGTCCTAAGTTATTAGACTATTTTAATCCTAACCCTTTAATTCTATTACAATACAAAGACACAATTATACATAACATAATACAAAATTATTCAACTACATATATTTCCCTCAACCTCCTCCACCCCCACAAGGCAGTATAATCAGTACACCTAGCAGTTGACCAGCATAACAGTTGCTCTCTGGTGCAAAGCCTTCTTACCCGTCATTTCTCCTTAAACCTAAATATCGGGTTCAAGTGCCTTCGAGATAGGGCAGGCATCGCAGCTAAGACCCACCGTTATCCTACGCCACTACTAGGATTCACTGGCCTCATAAAACAAGGCGGCCATAATCAATGGACCGTATTCAAGGTCACCTTATTTCACACAGGTAACACTAACACTTCTGACAAGTTAAAGTAGGCTGGGGACATCTCACACTCTCAATTGTCTCTCATGGCTGGCAGGACATCCCCACATACCGGTCGTACAGGTTGACCAGCAAGGCAGGATACTCCTCCATACCACCCTTGATAGGCTGGTCCCAGCAGCTGGAGTCCATCTCCGCGGCTCGCATCCTTCCACATCTCCGAGAATTGCAGCTCCATCATAGTAGACTCTCTTATCCTGGCACACCAGCCAGAATTCCTCATACACCACTGCAGCATCACCGCCATCGTCTCCTCATGAGCTAGGCAGCATCGCAGCACGGTCGGTCCCAGCATCTCAGCATCACAGCACGGTCGGTCCCAGCATCTCAGCATCACAGCACGGCCACAGCATAGCAGCACTGCTACAGCATCTCAGCACGGCCACAGCATCGCGGCACGGTCCCATTATCTCAGCATCACAGCACGGCCACAGCATAGCACTGCTACAGCATCTCAGCACGGCCACAGCATCTCAGCACGGCCACAGCATCTCAGCACGGCCACAGCATCGCAGCACGGTCCCAGTATCTCAGCATCACAGCACGGCCACAGCATAGCACTGCTACAGCATCTCAGCATGGCCACAGCATCTCAGCACAGCCACAGCATCGCAGCACGGTCCCAGTATCTAAGCATCACAGCACGGCCGCAGCATAGCAGCACTGCTACAGCATCGCAGCACGGTTACAGCATCTCGGCATCACAGCACGGCCACAGCACTGCAGACAGCATCACAGCAGCCGACATCAGCAGTGGCAGGCTATGGTCAGTTTCTCGAGGTGAGGTGAGGTCACTTCAGGTCATCAACAGCAGGTGCGGTCACCCATCCCCGGAAACTGCGGGTAACTGGCGGTCCGCGGGTGATGGTCACAGAGGCCGGGTGACGCCAACAGACACCCACTACAATGGATGACAGACCAGGGCAGCAATACATCTACTGGGGCACATAAGCTGGGTGACTGGGCACATCAGCTGGGTGACTGGGCACCTCAGCTGGGTGACTGGGCACATCAGCTGGATAACGATCATAGGCAGCTCTTCAATGGGTGGCAGTTGTGGGTGAGTCTTCCAAGGCGGGATGGGTGACTTCTCGTTCCTCTGTAAATATTCAATTTCGGCCAGTAATTGTTTCCCCCAAAAGTCTCACCCAAACACTGATATTCTCCACCATTTATCCCAAACCAACAACCAACTCCACCAAATATATAATACAACCCAAACAATTACTCAGACCCACCGTCAAAAGGAGTCGGCTAATGTCACTAGGATTATAGTATCACACAGATATTTACTTTAGCTTTCCACACACAGGAAAAAAATGGTAGCATAAGTATAACCGAGCAGTCAAAAAGCACATGGGACTGATTCCTACTATAAAACTAATAAGAATCACCACCGTTTAGACACCATGTCATGTACGGGGGAGGGTTAATGTAACGTAAAGTATAATTGGGGAATATGGGAGTAAGGGGTTATGTAGGCAGGGGAGAGGCAGGCGAGGTGGTAGGAGAGATGATTAACGGAGGTAGGTAGGTAATGTGAGGTCACTGGTGACTACACCTTCACCTCTCATTACTCTACTCACCACACTATTCACCCTCTCACTACTTGAAATAAATGAATAAATGAGTAAATAACGGGAACAGTGAATATTACTATTCTACTCAAACACAGTTTATTATTAAGTCTTTGTGCAATAATATAATTGGGAACAGGAGAACATTATTGTGTTTAGATAAATGGGATGGTACATATAAGCAGTGAGACAGGGAACACAATCAACTTGGCGAAAATGAATAAAACTTACAATATAGTTCAGAGGACAGTTCACCACAGGAACTAAGCCACAGGTCCCAAGACCTATACAGCACGAGTACTGCTCCAAGCCAGTACTCTGCCCAATGTCTCCAACAGTCTCCTCCCGAGACTTCAGCAGCCTTCTCCCGAGCCCTGCAGCCCAGCAGCAGCTCCTCGTGAGCTATGCACACAGCAGCAGCTCCGCTCGAAGTCTCACGATCATTCTCTTCCTTGGGCATAATTATATGGTGGTCCAAGCACCCTCCACAATGAGGTGTGCACCACGTGTTACGACCTGACGCCGAGATCTGACGCCAGTGACAAACAAAGGAGCTGATACTTAAGCCAAAAAGGCATGGCTGCTTAGCCACTTGCCAAGGCAAGGTGACCATATAATTAGGTCTCCCTAGAGACCTCACAAGCCCAGCTGAACTACATCACAATGCTTACACTACAGTTATAAAACTGCAACATTGACACCCCTCCTTCAGAGTGCTGGCACTGTACTTCCCATCTCCAGGAATCAAGTCCAGCCTGCCGGTTTCTCTGAATCCCATAAATGTTACCTTGCTTACACTCCAATAGCATGTCAAGTCCTAAAAACCATTTGCTCCAATCTAACACGCTCACACACGCTTGCTGGAAGTCCAAACCCCTCGCACACAAAACTTCCTTTTCCCCTCCTTCCAACCTTTCTTAGGCCGAACCCTACCCCACCTTCCCTCCACTATAGATTTATACACTCTCAAAGTCATTCTATTTCGTTCCATCCTCTCTACATGTCCAAACCATCTCACTAACCCCTTTTCAGCCCTCTGGATAATAGTTTTGGTAATCCCACACCTCCTCCTAATCTTCAAACTACGGATTCTCTGCATTATGTTCACACCACACATTGCCCTCGCACATGACATCTCCACTGCCTCCAGCCTTCTCCTTGTTGCAACATTTACCACCTATGCCTCACACCCATACAAGAGCGTTGGTATAACTGCACTTTCATACATTCCTCTCTTTGCTCTCATGGATAAAGTTCTTTGTCTCCATAGACTCCTCAGTGCACTACTCACCTTTTTTCCCTCGTCAATTCTATGATTTACTTCATTATTATATAATATATATATATATAATATATATTATATATATATATATATATATATATATATATATATATAAATAAATATGCAATGAAATCACATTAAACAGGTGATATCACAATATGCAAAACAACCACTGTGAAAAAATAGTGAAATTCCCAGCGCTTTCGTGACTTCACATTATCAAGGCACTGTGATAATGAGAAGTCACGAAAGCACCTGGAATTTCATTATTTTTTCACTGTGGTTCTTCTGCATATTGTGACATCACCTGTTTACTCTGATCTTATTGCATATATATAATATAATGGATGAATGCGTGTCCTGCAGGTGGAGGAGCTGGGATGAAGATGGGCGTGTCGTCGCAAGAGATCCGTGGCCTTGTGGGAACGGGAGCACCAGCAGGCCTCAGGGATCCCTATGGTCCTCCTTACTTCCCTCGGGAACCCACCGAGTCCTTAGGCTCAGCCGCTACCAGCAGTCAAGACCCCATCTACTCCGACCCCCTCTCTAAGGTAGTATACACATTCTCATTCAATTTCTTTCATTCCCCCTAAAAGCGCTAAACATATATGGATCATTCACCGCTCTCTATCGTTGTACGCTTTACGTAATATTGGTGATATAACGAATCAAAACGCAGAACATTCGTTACGTAATTAGTGAAAAGAACTTTTCTGTATCATATCAGTGCACAACTAACAACTAAAAAATATTATTTATTTTCTTGCAGGTCGGAAGCGTTGACAGTTCACTGAAAGAGGATCATATTTATGCTACACTCTCGGAAACCTTTGGTTCCATGTCATCCCTCAGCGATGGTTATCTGGGGGACGACCAGCGCTGCGCCTCCGTCACCACTGTGGCCAACGACGATTTTGAGTTCCACGACCCTCGTGCCACGGTGACTCCCGAGCCCGTGCGCTACACCGCTGAGAGCAACAACTTGGCAGACACTTGCACCATGGCCATTGCAAACCGACCACCGGCCAAGCTACCGCCAGAGGCTCACCTTTCCGCCCCTGAAGATGTTTACCATCTCTCGACTAACACAGACTCCTCGACTACATACTCTGTCGCCTCATCCTTCAGGTCTTCGTGTTCTCAGGTCACGGCGACGGTAGAAAACGACACCAGTTACATTAAGGATGATAAAAAAGATGATAGCGATAATCCACCAGAAATTGGTTTTTACAATACTGGTTTCGAATGCGACACTTTGGAATTGAAAAAAGAATATTTTCGAGATCGTGGACCGGTAGACAGCTTGGATCTTCGTCTGAGCAAGGAGAGAAAAGAGAAGACCAGTGACGGAACACTGTCTCGCAAGCATCGTTCGTCTTCACTGTCTATGAACGATCTAGATCGCCTCGACACTAACCCCGAGAAAGAAGAGGAAATGATGTTCATTCTTCCTGTTAAAAGTGAGTCGATGTTGAGCCTCTATCGTCTTTATCTAGCTGAAGACGAGGCTGGCACCAGCCTACACTACTCTGTTGAAGTGTCACGCTCTGAGGGTGACCTGTCTGTCCTCGAAGCCGTCGAGAACTGTGCGGTCGGCGAAGGCAAGAGCGAGAGCGCTTTGCACGAAGTGTATCAGAAACGCCGAGTTCCGGAAACCACGGGAAGTCGTGTCAAGCGACAGCACAAGATCCAGCGCGCCAAGGGAATGCAACAGCGGGCCAGGAAAACTCCAACAGCAACCTCAGTGAGCAACCACACCAGCGTGCTGAGCAACACTGGAACTGTCAGTAATGGGATGCAGGTGGCTGTTATGGATAAAACTCGTAGGAGAAATGGCATAATTACTATTCAAGACCCGTCTGTGCTGTCCGTAGAGGAACTGTTCCGCGTGCTGGACCGAGCGTCGTGCACGCCGGCCGCACCTTACACGGACTCCGGTGATCCTGCAAACTCCCCGCTCCCGGCACCAGCGCAGCGCACGGAACCTGATTTTAAGAAGATATTCGTTAGCGAATATTTGTAATAACTTTCCTTAACACAATATTATGTTACTTGTGAACACATTTTTTTTTTACAAACAATTAATAGTGACAGTAAAACATAATACGAGTGTATGAAAAATGACTCATTATAGTTACATTGTGAATTGCATATAGACCACGGTACCGTGCATGACAGTATTAAAATACATAAACGCCTTTCTGTATATTGTTGATATAAGTATTGTGTGGAGAACTCGTAGCTAAAATGTGTATGCTTTAAAAGGTGAACTGATGTGTGTGTTGACACCTGCTGATGTTAAAAAAAAAATTAAACACAAACTGGAGACACCCAACTTGTGAAGATTTCCAGCCTGTCAATATAAAGCCTAGTGAGTGGAAAGCTCACCTCGGGGCATCTGAACACACATTTGAAGGCTGTACAGTGCAATTATATGCAGCAACTTGCACATATCCAGGGGAAAGCAAAATGTTGGTAATAACAAGTATTAGCGGCCAGTGATAATTCCAGAGTCGTGGAAAACTCTTAATATAAGCATGATTCTTGCGCCCACGGTCATGCAAGACTGGAAGATGGCCACCAGTGTTGACCCAAGGGTATGCAAGACTGCAGCATGGCCATCAGTGTTAATCCCATGGTCAGGCAAGAATGAAGCATACCAGGGTCCAGTAATACCGAAGCAGGGCCCATGGTAGATTGCTGCTTCATTCGGGCCAATTAACCCCACCTACAACTGCTTACATTCTCCTACTCTCGCATTCTCAAGACCTTTTCATACTCATGAAATGTATATATATATATATATATATGATAATGTATAGACGCTCTTCTCTACAGAGATTAAACTTTCAGATTTTTATGAAAATAATTCAGAGTTCTTCTCTATTCTTTTGTTACTATTCAATACTCGTAGGATGTGTATATATTGTATTTGATCCCACTTTCAGTACCTTGATGAAGTCACTTAATGCTACGTTAAGAAAATACTGGATCCAGCTCATACCCTATCCATGCGAATCCTAGATCGAACTCACACCCCGTCCATGGGAAGTAGAATCCGTGTGCTGTCCCACTTTACTTACTGAAGTCTAGGGTCGTGTGTTTAATTATTCCCAAGGTTACGGTAAAATAATTCTGAGCTCTTAAAGTCAATTTCAAGCCATGAAACTAATTAAATTATGTCACGAATCTTAATACTAATTAAAATACACATTTTTTGGGTTCGGAATTTCAGGGTAGAATTGGTTTTTCAGAAAGTCAGATTATAGACAATGATAGTAGTGCGTAAGCTTCTTTACGTTTTATTTTCGGATTATACGCAAACGTTCAGAACTTGTATGCTGTATGACCCTAGTGTGTTTATCGCTTGGTTTTGATTAAATAATAATCAGAAATTGTACCTTCCGGATAAATATCTGTTAAGCAAACCAGTTTTTTGGTAACTGAAACCTTGTTGTTATAGAAATAATTAGATGAGGGGTCATTACTGATAGGTGGATACTCCCTGAGCTTTGGGAGGGAGATGGTGGATGTTCTCTCCGCTGGGGAGCTGAGAGAATGGATGCTATCTGAGCTGTAGGGTGGAGATGGATGCTCTCTCAGCTGTGAGGTAGAGATGATGGAGGCTCTTAGCTTTAGGGTGGAGATGATGATGATAAAGGCTCTCTCTCAGCTGTAGAGTGAAGATGATAAAGGCCTTCTCAGCTGTAGGGTAGACATGATGGAGGCTATCTCAGCTGTAACGTAGAGATGATGGAAGCTGCTTCAGCTGTGGGCTCATTGTAGAAGTGAAGCTGATGCGATGCTCTCTCACTCAGCTATCGAGTGGAGCCGTTGGCACCACCTTGGTGTTACCTGCTGCTCATGTTGGCACCACCTTGGTGTCACCCGCTACTCATATTGGCACCACCTTGGTGTCACCTGCTGCTCATGGCACCACCTTGGTGTCACCCGGTTCTCGTATCGTTGGCACCACCTTGGTGTCACCCGGTGCTCATGTTGGCACCACCACGATGCCACTTGGCGTCTCCTAGGTCAGATCTGTGTACATATGCCTTATTACACATAACATCATTTCTAGTATGTGCGTCTGTGTGTTTAAATACCTGCATTTTCGTAACATATGTGATTTTTTCTTTCTGATTTATATACATATAACTTATTTACTATATATGTTTCTCCGCATGCAATTCAATTCATGATGTGAATTTATACGTTAAATCACTGTACAAAACAAAATAAATTTTCAGGTATACTCAAATGAATTTGTGTATCCCTCAGTGCAAGGATCCCTACAGTTTGGTGCGATGTCATCAATCTCAGGACCCCAAGTCTTGTACAGCGCTAATATTTCTCATCAGACATTAGGGATTTCGTATCGCGATTAGCAGTAGGAGGATCGAGCGTCCAGCACTCTTTGCACTTCATGATCCATACGGATTTAGTGCTAGAGACATGCTAGGCACACATACACTTTCCAACTTATAACAACGTGAAACTAATTACGTTATTTTTCCATAACAAAAGATTATATATATATATATAATATATATATATATATATATATATATATATATAATATGCAATAAGATCACGTAACAGGTGATTTCCAAAATATGCAAAACAACCACTCTGAAAGAATAGAGAAATTCCAAGCGCTTTCGTGACTACTCACATTATCAGAACTATGAAAGTGAAGCATCCAAGGAGCTATATAAGGGGTCGGCCCAGCACCTCACTATCAGATCCCACAACGGTTTTAAACACGTGACGCGCGGCGAGCCAACTTGGACAGTCCTTTGCAAAACTCACCCCCAAGCTAATTTATTTGTCCAGTGTATTATTAAATTCTACCCAAATTCTATTAATTATAAATGGATCTAATTTATATAAACCAAAGGAAATATTCATATTATTGTCAAAATTTGCTTTTTATGAAACAAGATTCAATTATATTCCTGTCGACCATGGACTTGCTTGATACTACTTTCTCAACTTTTTGAAAATCAATTGGATGGTTAAAATCTCTTACATGAATAAATAGAGCATTGGAATCTTGTCCAGTTCTAATGCTATATTTATGTTGTTTTAATCTTATATATATATGTATATATATATATATATATATATATATATATATATATATATATATATATATATATATATAGTGTCGTGCCGAATAGGTAAAATTAAGTCCTTTCTAAAATTTTTTTTATATATTATATATATATATATATATATATATATATATATATATATATATATATATATATATATATATATATATATATATATATATATGAGAGAGAGAGGGAGCAATGAAATCACGAAATAAGTGATTTTGGATCATTCACCAAACTGCGGCAGGTCATGATTCGACCCCACGAACATTGTCCCGCCTCAAGAGACAATACAACATATGTGTCACCTTACCGCTGAGCCAGCGGTCCTTCAAAGATCACGCATCCAGCCAAGCTAGATGTTTTTCTCGTGATCCGAGTGTCCTCGGATCACGAGAAAATCCTTTTCAAGCTCCGTGAAAAGGAAATTATCTGGCAATGAATCGGAATGATAAAAAACCTGTATAAATAATAAACATGAACATATAATAAACATGAACAGATAAACATGAATAAGCAGATAAACCAGAACAAACAGACACAAATTAGAATTTAGACAACGCTGGCCACCCGAAGGTCTAGGAGGCAGAATCAGGAGCCGAGATTCGACCCAAGAAAAACAAATGGGTGAGTACAGCACCAGCTACACACAACATGACTGCTTCAGCCTTATTTAGCTATCGCCATAAGACTTTTGTTTTTATTCTGCCACAATACAATCGTCAGCCAAAAGATATAACTAAAGGGCTTCAAAGACTCCGAGACTTGTACAACAATGATTGCAAGCCTGTTAGTGTTGCACAGTTGATAAGCCAGATGGCGGTGATCACCAGTGTTGGAGCTCGGGATTCCCACTTACAATTACTATTTACTTCTTTCATTGTACACCTCTGTTTAATATTTCTCGGCTGCTAGCAGAGACGTTATCTGCCAGTGTCTTCTTTTCTAGTCTGAGCAGCACCTTTCATTGTTATGATCAAAAGGAAGCGCTAAACGCAGCACCTCTCAGCTGAGCTCCCTCTCCTCTCCTTATAACTCATGTACGTTTGATTTTTCTCCATTAATTTTAGCAGGGTTCACCTTCACTCCAAATTGAATTAAGTATCCGTGGAAGTCGGTTATCTTACGTATTTCCTTAATAAAAACTAAGAAGAAAATCAGTTTTCTACGACTCATACTTAGTAAGTAAGTAAGTTTATTCAGGTATACACAAATACAGTTACATAGAATTATCGTACATAGCAGCATATGTGTAGAGAACCTGGGATAACCCAAAAAAGTCAGACAGAGTGACTTATTTCCATTGGGGTACTGTTGTTTCTCTGGTGAGAATGGTTAAGACAGGGAGCAGAGGTTGTTGGGTGTCGTAGGTACCCTTGATCGTAGTGGCCAAAGCAATACGTCTGATTTTTAAAGGAGGGGAAGAAATGATGTGGACAACTTACTTCCATTAGACCAGCGGATGATTCATAGGTATATAAGACTGGTACACCAGTGGTTCTGGACGGATTCTCGGCTGTCTATGACCCTCTTAGGACGACATTTTTCACGATTCCTTGTGAACACAAAACTTATAATAATGGGATATGGGGGCCGGGGATACGCTGCTCAGGAGCATCGCAAACGAAATAAACCTAGCTTAATTTGAGATATATCTGACATCCATTAGAAAATGCTCCTTTACCCTTATTACCTAAAGGTAAATACAAACTAACCTGGCGAAAATTTATCCAAATTAACGTAGAGATGATGGAAGCTGCTTCAGCTGTGGGCTCATTGTAGAAGTGAAGCTGATGCGATGCTCTCTCACTCAGCTATCGTCTATATAAATTATAAACAAAACTTAAACTACAAAATATAAACTATAATAAAATACAAATAATAACCTAAACGTAGACTTGGGAAGGGAAAAGAGAGTGTTGGAGGTGGAACACACATACAGTGCATTGTGTAGATGAATGGTTCAGAGAACCGACATGTTGATAAATTAGACACATGTGCAACTCTTGGGTATCTTTATTGAGGAAACGTTTCGCCACACAGTGGCTTCATCAGTCCATACAAAGGAGAATCTTGAAGAACAGGAGGAGAATGAGGTAATCAGTCCCTCAACCTTGAGTCGATGTGGTCAGTCCATCAATCTTGAATAGAATACGGCATACAATGTGACCTGACCTGACTAGGTTGGGTGCATTGGCTTAAGCCGGTAGGAGACTTGGACCTGCCTCGCATGGGCCAGTAGGCCTTCTGCAGTGTTCCTTCGTTCTTATGTTCTTATGTTCTTATAAACCGTTGGTAGGAGAGGTGCAGCAGTCATAGGTGGTGTCACATTTGTTCAATGTTGAAGTAGGTCGTGCCCAAGAATTAGGCAAGCGAAGAATTCCCAAGTATTAAGATCCCAAGAAGTTGCAGTGTCTGACAGGTTTGTAGATGAATGGTTCAGTGAACCGACATGTTGATAAATTAGACACATGTGCAACTCTTGGGTATCTTTATTGAGGAAACGTTTCGCCACACAGTGGCTTCATCAGTCCATACAAAGGAGAATCTTGAAGAACAGGAGGAGAATGAGGTAATCAGTCCCTCAACCTTGAGTCGATGTGTTCAGTCCATCAATCTAAAGGATAACTGTCAGAAATATTCAGAACTATAGATTGTTCAGGAATGAACAATCTATAGTTATTGAATAAAAAGTTGTTTCACTGTGTGGTAGGTGGTATGTGACGTGATCGTCTCCAACCTGTGCAGAATCACATTTGATGGACTGAACACATCGACTCAAGGTTGAGGGACTGATTACCTCATTCTCCTCCTGTTCTTCAAGTTTCTCCTACGTATGGACTGATGAAGCCACTGTGTGGCGAAACGTTTCCTCAATAAAGATACCCAAGAGTTGCACATGTGTCTAATTTATCACAATGCATTGTATTAAACTTTATTCTAATTATTAACCTCCGAGGACTAATAACCCGAGTTAACCCGAGATGTGACATTTTTATTTGGGTTCTTGGGTTTTTCTCTTATATATATGAGACACAACAAGTGACTAGGGAAGTAGAAGGTGTTAGGAGAAATACCCGTCAGTCTTCACCTTGACTTGGAAATGAATTCTGGTCGCTTAGATTGTGAGCCAAATTCTCTACCACCGAGCTACGATGTGCCTGTATTCTTTTAAGTCCAGTTATTAATAATCTAGAAAGATTTTGTTGAAATAGATATATCTTTGGTAATAAAGCCCCAACCCAGTTAATTATATTCAGGGAGGAAGTACTAAAACCGTAGGGTCAAACAGCCTCTGGAGACTGGCAGGTAATTAGATTTAATACTAAAAAGGAAAGATCAGCTTCGATTCCTTCGACTAAGAGTCCTTCGCCAGCATCAAGGAACTGAAGGGTCGTAACACACACTCAAGATTTATGCAGAGATTAAATAAGAGCTAGCAGAAGGTGAACCCATGCACTCTGCCCTTTATATGTGATATCACATCCGACAAAAAATTAAGTCGAACTCTTAACACTACCAATATAATGATTTTTGTATTTTGTTGCCGTGTTCCTCCCTTAAGTCAATGTGACCTGACCTGACTAGGTTGGGTGCATTGGCTTAAGCCGGTAGGAGACTTGGACCTGCCTCGCATGGGCCAGTAGGCCTTCTGCAGTGTTCCTTCGTTCTTATGTTCTTATGTTCTTATGAATAATCGTAAGTTGGAAGGGTGGTGGCCGGGGGTTGGTGTAAAGGCCGGTTGGCTGGTGAACTCTGGCCGCTGCGCTCTGTCTTGCTGATTTATTCGTCAGGAAAAAACTCTGACATGGGTGGTGCCGGCCCCGTAGATGGGGAGTGGCTCTACAGTGTTTGTAAGGACATATTTAAGGTTGGTAGTCAGTAGCTCACCGGAAGGCCGCGGTAGTAGCGACCACTGGCTTCCCTGTGCTGGTTCTCATTTCTGTTACCTACCCCCCCCCCCCTAATATACTGCGCCTTGGTAATCCTCATTCATTACTGGATAATGAATACATTATCAACACGAATGCGCGAGTCACTCGATACCAAAAATGGGAGATGACCTTGACTGGAAGGAAGAGGTCATGGGTACCCCAGCATGCTGTACCCTGGAGGTTGGAGGGATTGGCACGGG